AATGACAAATTTTACAATTTGTTTTACATTTTTGCCTATTGTCTTGAAAACTATAATAGAGAGAAACTTTAAATTGCAAAAATGATCAGCAAGACAAGTTCTACCAATTGCAATAAGTGTAAACATGGTCGAAATCGTCAGTCGACTCCATATTAGAGTTATTGCCCTTACATGACGATTTTAACATATTTTTTTTGCGTTTTGCCTTATATGATAACAATTATAATAGATAAATAGAAACTTTAAATCAAGGCAAGATCTACTTACAAGTCAAATTTTTACTGATATTGTTAGTAGACTGTCACTTTTCATAGGAGTGATTGCCCTTAAAAGAGGCTTTTTTTACCCTCTTTTGTGTTTTGAGCAAAAATTAAAGAAGATAGAGAGAAACTAAACAGACTAAATGATCAGCAATACAAGATTAACAAAACAGAGATTTTTGTCATGAATTCTATTCTCGTCTACAATGTTGGAGAGTGTACTTTGTTGAATATGCACATAGACGCCCCTCAGATATGAAAAGCTTACATCTAATACACAAAATAAACTATAAATGATGTTCTTTTGAATGTAGGAATATATAAATTTTCCGTTTGAGACAGAACATTTTTTGTGAATTCCTTTTTCAATGTTTTTACATATTTTCTTTTTCAACATACAGATATACGTATGTTTTTACATATTTTCTTTTTCAACATACAGATATACGTATGTTTTTACATATTTTCTTTTTCAACATACAGATATACGTATGTTTTTACATATACCTCATATCTTTTCATTCTTGTGAAATTTCAATGTTATGTAACAAATTGGTATAACTTTATTGTTTTGAATCAATTCCAGACAAACAATTGTGTGTTGGTCTTCTTTCTCATCTCATTTTTCGAATCGGTCAATACAATGTTTTACTGCTAACTAGTTAATGCTTGTTTTGAGCCATATAACTTACTACTCAAAGAGTGTTTTGGTCCTTATTTGTTACTAGTCAATGATGTTTTGACCCATATTTGTAACTAGTAAATGCACGGTTTTGACCCATTTAACTAACTACTAAATGCCTGTTTTTAAAAATATTTACTAACGAATCAATGTTTGTTTTTGTCCATATTTGTAACTTTTCAATGCTTGTTTTAACCTATATCTGTAACTTGTCAATGCTTGTTTTAACCTATATTTGTAATTTGTAAATGCTTGTTTTACCAATATATGTAAACATTCAGTGCTTGGTTTAACCCATATTACGAACTAAGCAATGCTTGTATTGCTTCATTGTACTAACTAGTTAATGCTTGCTTTGACTTTGATCTAAATACTGCATAATCAATGCTTGTTTTGACCCATACGACTAACTAATCAATTCTTGTTTTGAACCATACGACTAACTAATCAATTCTTGTTTTGACCCATACGACTAACTAATCAATGCTTGTGTTGACCCATACGACTAACTAATCAATTCTTGTTTTGACCCATACGACTAACTAACCAATTCTTGTTTTGACTTTTATTATTTAATTGTCAATGCTTGCTTTGACCCATATTACTATCTTGTCATGCTTGTTTTGACTCATATTACTAACTAGATAATTTTTGTGTTGACCAATATTAAATAATCCATGCTTGCGTTAAGACCAATTTTGCCAATTATTCGGTGTAAGTCTTGACTCATACTCCTTTGATATCATTGCTTTTTATGTTAAAAAGAGAGTGACTAACTTCAACCAACTTGTACAAATCACACAATATTTGTTTGTTGTAGGTCCTGTCGTAAATGTTATGTGTCATAGATTTTCATTCCGATCCGTGATAATTTGGAGTGGATTTATTCGGGTTTTTGCCTTAATAATTTCCGGATTTGCACCAAATATATACTTTCTATTTGTGAGTTATGGAGTTATTGGAGGTAACATTTAAAATTTATAAAAATGGACATGATTGATGACCAAATAGAATTAGTGTGACCCTACTTCATTATGATTGCATTTTACTCGGCATCCAGCCCAATTTACCTATTTCTTTTTAAAGTTTCAATTCATTTTAGACTTTCTCTGTATCGTGACAAATCTTTATCATAATTAATCATAACTTACATGTTAAGTAAAGCTCTTACTTTTAGTCGAAGTGAAGCTAAATACCAATACAAATTAATTGTGATATAAAATGACATAAAATTTCGAATTGTTTTCTTTGAGCCGTATACAGTAGTAAAAACTCTCAAAGATACAAGGCGTATAAATTGGTACGCCAGACACGCATTTCGTCTACATAAGACTCATCAGTGGCGCTCGATTCAAAACAGTTGGAAGACCAAATCAAATACGCAGTTGGTGAGCATTAAAAACCGAATATTCCGAAAAGCTGTGCCAAGTACGGGTAGACAATCTATGTCTGGGGTAGAAAACCTTAGATGTTTTTAATACATGTCAATATCTATACATACATGTAGACAAGTAATAAATGGCTTATTGTTACTATAGGATAAGGACAGGCAATGGCATATTCTCCCGCTGTTGTTATTACGGGACGCCAAACGGGACTCTTGTGGTTTTGTACTCGAAATTCAATTTTGTACGGACAAAAGTGAGTTTTGTTCAACAAAAATAAGTTCAGTTTAACAAAATTTGTAGCATACTACAAATTTACATTTTGTCATACAAAATTATCTTTCAGTGGACAAAAGTTACTTTTGTCATGACAAAATTTATTTTTGTATCACAGTCTTTACTTTTGTTTCTTAATTTGAAAATTGGGCGACAAAAGTCAATTTTGTATGCAAATTAGTTTAATTTGGATTCTGTGAACTAATTTGCATACAAAACTGAGCTTTTGTCACAAAATTCAATTTTGTGTTTATTTTTGTGTAGACAAAATTGAGTTTTGTTAAACAGAAGTGAAAATTTAACAAAAGTCAATTTTGTGTCACAAAAGTCATTTTTGTCACAAAAGTCAATTTTATGTTAAATTTTCACTTCTATCTAACAAAACTCAATTTTGTCTACACAAAAAATAATTTTTAATTACAAAATCACAGGATGCTAATTTAATCAACATGTTAATTGCGTACAAATTCAATTTTGTCTCACAAAATTGACTTTTGTGTTTTAATTTCCATATCAGGTAACAAAAGTCAATTTTGTATGCAAATAAGTTTATATTTGCATACCAAAAATGAATTTTGTCTACAAAAATGAATTTTGTCTACAAAATGTCATTACAAAATTGAAGTTCTCATAAAAAAAGTCTGTATCACATAGTTTTGTAAGACAAAAATGATTTTGTTATGACAGAATTGAATTTTGTGCACACAAAATTGATTTTGATTACAAAAAGTTCAAATCCCATTCGGCGCTCCGTAGTTATTGTAAGCGCACATTTTCACAAAAAGCTAGGTACCGCTATTGGACTAGCTACATCAGGTGTTGGTCTTTGAACTTTTGCCATACCACTCTTACTAGAGGCATCATTTACATACTACGGATAATTTACGTTCCTAGTAAGTAATTACAAGCTTCAATCAATTACAAGTATATCAATTGGTAAAAAAAAATGTTTTCTGAACATTAATATAAAAATAAGGAGATGTAGTATGATTGGCAATGAGACAGCTATCCACCAAAGTTCAAATAAAGTGGATGTAAGCAATTATAGGCAACCGTACGGCCTTCAACAATGAGAAAACCCATACCGTATAGTCGGCTATAAAAGGCCCGACATGAAAATTATGAAACAATTCAACTGAGAAAACTAATGGTCTAATTTATAACAAAAATATTTACGAAAAAATATATATGACAGACATGAACCAACGAAAACCACTGACCTACAAGTCTGGTCACGCCTTGTCTTTCACGATAAAAATAATGCGTTGGATGATCTTTCACGATCAGTTTTGATAAAAAATCAACAAAATTTTACTTTTTAAAAAATTAAAATAAGCTTTTTCAAGAGGTAACATGCTTTTTTCAATGAACTATCTGACACACGAAAGATTAAGTTTCAAATATCATGATATATTGGAATGTGACCATTATAGATACAAAACGTGATTTTTTTCTTAATGATTCTCATAGGATTGTGTGTCGCCTTTTGTGTTTTCCTAAAAAGTACGGCATTTTCCTTGAACTTAGTGCACAGTATTATTGAAGAAATTGAATCATTTTGATAGACATATTTCTTTTTGATTTGTTCCACCTTTTGAAAATACAGCAGATTTTTCACATATTTTGAAGTACAATTACACTTAATTGCATTCACGATCCGATACCAGATCTTTCACGATCCGATCGCAATGCTTGACCACCGTTAGTTATTCTTTCACGATCATTTTTCTCGATATACCGAATGACACCCGTGATTCTTGACTAACAATTTTTATTTCGTAAGACTGTTTAATGCAGCACCACGGCATGACTAGATAATTTGCATATAACGCAGTTTTAAGGTGAACTGATATGAACAGGTACGATTTTTCCGACATTATATTTATTACTCATATATTTAGAACTAATTTTATGTTAGTTGGTAAAATTTAACAATCGTTCGATTTCTTAAATAGATATAAGAAGATGTGGTATGAGTGCCAAGTATACTTTTGAAAAGTAAACCTATGCATAGAATTATGTTGAAATCTTTCTTCGACTTTCGGTTTTTGATTTGATTGTCCCTCCACCTCCCCCAACAATCCAATCCAACATCCCTCATAAGTGTTTTGACTAAAAATTATTGCAGTATATTTTTCCACCGCTTTATTTCACTAACCTTTTAACCTCTTTCATCTCAGGTACAGTACAACAACTTAAATTAAAATGAGTAATAAGTGCTTGAAAGGTTGTGCGAATAAAGCCTTTACAGACAACGAAACCGCAGTTATCTCTGTAGACTCAGATGGACACACACACCCGATCACTTCTAGGACGGAAATATATGTAAACTGTTCGGTAATCCCCGTGATTCCTTCTGTAACAGAAAGTGTCGACTTGTCACAGGGAATACATGGAATGAAAACTACATCTTACACCAGAGAGGGCGACAACATAGTTAGCGATGAACAACCAGAAGTAGATATCGGAGAAAGACAGATTTCACTGGAAAGAGAAACACTAAATACAGAATTACAGATAACCGAATCTGTTCTAACGGCATTACCAGAAAAGGAAGAAAAAGACACCGAATCTGTTCTACATTCTGTACCCGAAAGGAAGGAAGAAGACATCTATTCTGTAATACAGACTGTACCCGAAAGGAAAGAAGAAGACACTTGTTCTGTTCTACATTCTGTACCCGAAAGGAAGGAAGAAGACACTTGTTCTGTTCTACATTCTGTACCCGAAAGGAAAGAAGAAGACACCTATTCTGTTCTACAGGCTGTACCCGAAAGGAAGGAAGAAGACACATACTCTGTTCTACAGACTGTACCCGAAAGGAAAGAAGAAAACACCTATTCTGTTCTACAGACTGTACCCGAAAGGAAAGAAGAAGACACTTGTTCTGTTATACAGGTTGTACCCGAAAGGAAGGAAGAAGACACTTGTTCTGTTATACAGGTTGTACCCGAAAGGAAGGAAGAAGACACTTGTTCTGTTCTACATTCTGTACCCGAAAGGAAGGAAGAAGACACTTGTTCTGTTCTACATTCTGTACCCGAAAGGAAGGAAGAAGACACTTGTTCTGTTCTACAGACTGTACCCGAAAGGAAGGAAGAAGACACTTGTTCTGTTCTACATTCTGTACCCGAAAGGAAGGAAGAAGACACTTGTTTTGTTCTACATTCTGTACCCGAAAGGAAGGAAGAAGACACCTATTCTGTTCTACAGACTGTACCCGAAAGGAAAGAAGAAGACAAGGTTATTCAAATTCCAGCAGATGAATGCAACTTGTACTTCAGTACAGGAATGAAAAGAGAACGAGAATTAAAGGAAAAGACAGATAAATTTGCAGATGATGGTCTTGAAGAGACTATCAAAAATGTAGATGGTGCTCAGGATGGGGGTTGGGGCTGGCTCATTGTCTTGAGCAGTATGTTAATCCATTTTATTATTGGTAAGTATTTTTCAATAATTGCAGTAGATTGCTTCTCCTTTTTGAAAAGGGGATACCAAGAGTGTACATTGGACAACCATCTAATGAAAAATATTAAACTGTGTATGATTAATGAGGCCTTTATAGCACATCGACACTGCTACTTAAAAACGGAAAATAGATGGTACAGTCTGTATAATACACGTTATTAGATATACAAATATCTACATAAATACAGAGCGCTATGATAATACGTGTAACTTAAAATTAAACGAAATAGAAAGCAAATGGAATGCAGATATTCCAAGGAGTCAGAATAAATCTACCATAATGATGTATGAGGATGGGATTGCAGAAAAACATCTTTACGAGGTGCAATTTCATTGTTTGACATAAGGAATCAAACCACTTATTCGTAACCCCATTGTTTTCTATGGGGAAATACTGCAATTTCAAGCATTCATAGCTATTTTGTCTTCAGTTCAAATAAAGTGATTGTAATTTCTTTATATCAAACCTATATTTCATCCTGACTTTTGTGCTAAAAAATTAAACATACCTTTAATGGCATATAATAGCGCACTGTTTCCCGGAAGTTTGGTAGTACAAAAACATCTCATTTGATACATATTTTTATCATTCAGAAGAAACTTTCAACAAGGATTCTACAGTGGTCTCAAATCCTTAAGCTTTCATTTGATAAAAAATTACCCACATATTTTACTTATTGACAAAGTGATGGATATGCTTAGGAACTATTTTGTTAAACTATGTACTACTTATTTTCTGACCGAACCCGACTTAGTGGTTCTATACCATATCTGTTTTGGCAGGAGGTTTTGATAGATCGGGAGGTATACTGTATCTGAAATTTGAGGAGAAGTTCAAGACACCAGCTGCAGTTACAGCCTGGGTACCATCCATATCTAGTGGATTAAGACTTACTCTAGGTTGGTATACTCGTCCAATATTATCGTATAAACATATGATCACAATAAAAACGTGCTTGATCTCTGGAGAGTTATCTGTGACGTATGTGCCCATTCTATTTCTTTTAAGATTTAATGATTATTTTCCATTTTATTGTCATATCAATACCGTAAAATATTCACTATATATGGTATAACAGTTTTATTCCAACTAAATATACACATGCAATTTAGAAGGATATAAAATAAACTGCAAATGATGTTCTTTTGATTGCAGAAATATATAAGTTTTCCGTTTGAGACAGATTCTCCATTTAATAGATATAAGAAGATGTGGTATGAGTGCCAATGAGACAACTCTCCATCCAAGTCAAAATTTATAAAAGTAAACCATTATAGGTCACAGTACGGTCTTCAATACGGAGCCTTGGCTCACACCGAACAGTAAGCTATTAAGGGCCCCAAAAATTACTAGTGTAAAACCATTCAAACGGGAAAACCAACGGTCTAATCTATATAAAAAACGAGATGTCTACTATAAAAGTACACATGATACAATAACATTTTGTATGAATTTCTCTTTCACATATTTTCACTTCCAACAGAAGATGTGTGTATGTTTTGCATATACCTCATATCCTTTCATTCTTGTGAAATGTCAATCCTTATGTATCAAATTGGTATGGTCCTATCGTTTTGAATCAAATTCAAGCAAAAAAACATTGCTTCTTTCTCACCTCATTTTTTTAATCGGTCAATACAATGTTTTTACTGCTAACCAGATAATGCTTGTTTTGATCCATATTGCCAAATAATAAATGCCTGTGTTACCTTAACTGGTTACTAGCAATGCTTGTTTTGCCTAATATTTCTTACTAGTCAATGCTTGTTTTTACTTTGACCAATAAAAAAACACACATATTACTAGCTAGTTAATGCGTGTTTTGACCCTTATTTCTTACCAGTCCATACTTGTTTTTATCCATATTACTAACTAGTATATGCACGGTTTTGACCCATATCACTAACTAGTAAATGCTTTTTTTGAAAAATATTACTAACAAATCAATTCTTTTTTGGCCCATATTTGTAACTTGTCAATGCTTAATTTGGCCCATATTTGTAACTTGTCAATGCTTGTTTCTACCTATATTTGTAAGTATTCAATGCTTAGTTTAACCCGTTTTACTAACTAGTCAAGGCTTAAATTGCTTCATTGCACCAACTAGTCAATGCTTGCTTTGAATTTGATCTTAAATACTACATAATCATTGCTTGTTTTGACCAATATTTCTAACTATTTATATTGATTGTTTTGAACCATACAACGAACTATAGGCAATGCTTGTTTTAACCCATATGACTAACTAATCAATGCTTGTTTTTATCAATATAACTAATTTGTCAATGCTTGTTTGACCCATATAAATAACTTGTCAATGCTTGTTAGACTCTTATAACTAACTTGTCAATGCATGTTTTGACTCATATTACCAACTTGTCAATGCTTGGTTTGACTCATATTACTTACTTGTCAGTGCTTGTTTTGATCCATCTAAATAACTTGCCAAAGCTTGCTTTGACTTATATACCTAACTTGTCAATGCTTGCTTTGACTTATATTACTAACTGGTCAATGCTTGTTTTGGTCCATATAACTAACTTGTCAATACTTGCTTTGACCCATAAAATTAACTTTTCAATGCTTGTTTTGACTCTTAAAACTAACTTGTCAATGCTTGCTTGGACTCATATTACTAATTACAATCAAGCTTTAATAATCACACAATATTTGTTTGTTGTAGGTCCTGTCGTAGGTGTTATGTGTCATCGGTTTTCATTCCGATCCGTGGTTATTTGGGGTGGATTTATTCTGGTTTTTGCCTTAATAATTTCTGGATTTGCACCAAATATATACTTTCTATTTGTGAGTTATGGAGTGATCGGAGGTAATCTTTACAATTAACAATAAAAGAACAGAGTTCCAATGTCCCCCGCGTTGCACATATTTTATATTTCCAAGGGGCATAACTCTTTTAAAAAAGTCGATCGTCCACCGTTATAGAACTTGTCCGAGATAAATTGCTGATATTAACCTATAGTAAAAGTTTTATAAAAATCTGGCAAGAATTGTACCCGTAAGAGCACTAACGAGGCCATTTTCCATAAATTTAATATTTCCAAGGGGCATAACTCTTTTTAAAAAAGTCGATCGGCCACCATTATAGAACTTGTCCGAGATATTGCTGATATTAACCTATAGTATAAGTTTTATAAAAATCTGGCAAGAATTGTACCCGAAAGAGCGCTTACGAGGCCATTTTCCATAAATTTGATATTTCCAAGGGGCATCGCTCTTTTAAAAGAAGTCGATCGGCCACCATTAAAGAACTTGTCCGAGATATTGCTGATATTAACCTATAGTATAAGTTTTATAAAAATCTGGCAAGAATTGTACCTGTGAGAGCGCTAACAAGACGGATGCCCGGTATTTCCATGTCCCCCGCAACGCGTTACGCGGGGGACAAAAATGAACCTGATTGGTGATAAAAACAAATATAAGTGTGAATCTTCTTCATAATGATTGAATTTTACTCGGCATCTAGCCCAATTTATCTTTTTATTTTTAAGAGTTTTCAATTCATATTAGACTTCCTCTGTAATCATAACTTACATGCTAAGTAATCTAAGTCAGCTCTTATTATGACAGTAAAAAAAACGAGCTTCAAAGGATAAACCAGACTGTTGATATAATTTTTTAAAATCTAATACAAATTACTTATCTACATTTTATCGAACTTTCAGGTTGATCAAGCTTTCACTTCAAGTCGTAGTAAAGCTAAATAACAATACAAATTAATTATGATATAAAAGAACTCCAATGCTTCAAATTGTTTCATTTGAGCCGGATACGGTTGTAGAAACTCGCCAAAGATACCATGCTTTAAATATGTTCGCCAGACGCGCGTTTCATCAACACAAGACTCATCAGTGGCGCTCGAATCAAAACAGATTGAAGGCCAAATCAAATACGAAGTTGAAGAGCAGCAAAAAACAGAAAATTCCGAAAAACTTTGTTAGGTGCGGCTAAGGCAATATATGCTTGAGATAGAAAAAAATAAGATTCTTTTTTTTTAACTAGTAATTCAAAATGTTATAAACAGTAAATTTATTGAAAATGAAAATGTAAATTTTATTGTTTTAACTACGTGTAGTAATAAATGGCTTATTGTTACTATAGGAATAGGACAGGCAATGGCATATTCTCCCGCTGTTGTTATTGTAAGCGCATATTTTCACAAAAAACTAGGCACAGCTATTGGACTAGGTACATCAGGTGTTGGTCTTGGAACTTTTGCTATACCACTCTTACTAGAGACATCATTTACATACTATGGATATTTAGGAGCTTTAATTATGGCAGCAGCAGCATCATTACAAATAATTGTTTGCGGAGCTCTGATGAGACCAGTATCTCTTCACCGACGCATTACAGAGTTTAACAACAGGTATTACATTTGTTACTGTATATATCTTGTTTTCTTCGAGAGACAGTAAATTTAAGGTGTGTTAGTGTTAAAATTGTAAAAGTCAAATTTTCTGTGTGCTAAATTTGCCCTGATTAATTATGAATTGAGGAGAAAGCATTCTTTATAAGTTTGTTTTAGTTTTGAATTTTGTAGTCGCTTAGCCCATATGACTTTACTTAATTATACTATCTACCAATATCTGCGTTTGCCCGTCTGTATATCAGAGACACCATGGAAGCGTAATATTATTAGTTACACAATGGGTTAGTGACCTTATACGATATATATGGGGTCAGTAAAATCCATATGGGGTGAGAGCGACTATCTTAACATGTGGTATTTATACTAATTGCCTATCAAAGTGATCAAGTCTTCAATATTAAGAACCTACATCCATAGGTCTATACAAAATCAAATGCCAACAATAACAACTTGTAAGCTTTTAATGTGTTTTATGAATTTATTTCAATCGTTCATCATCAATTTTTTCGTCTGTTGAAACTTTGCAGATTTTTGCTCAACACCATGTTTGTTTTTACAAAGGGACGTAACTCCACTACTAACCGTGTATTGAAATAAACCACGCCTACTAACCCCATATGAAATATACACGGTCTCCAAGCGGTTGCTTTTAACAATCATATTCCTAGAAATGTATAGGAGGTAAGATAAGGCTAATACATCTGGTTTCAACTTAAAACAGTGGTGTTCCTTGAGAAGATGAGCTTTTAACATTTATGTCATAGGTTTACATAATGGTCACTAGCGATATTAAGTTCCCTTGCTAATTGTCTACCATACTTTTTAACATTAACGTCATAGGTCTACATAATGGTTACATGCTGCAGCCCTATTCAGTTTCTTTGCTAATTGTCTATCATACTTTTTAGCATTGACGTCATAGGTCTACGTTATGGTCACATGCTATTTTGTATTCATGTACATTCCCCATTTCCATTCTCAATTTTATACAGTACAAAAACCTGATAATATTTGAAAAAAATATTTGACTGAAAAAGAAAATGCCGTTTCTACATTTGAAGTACTTATCAAAACGAAAACGCCTACATTTTACAAGGCCGTAATCGAACGAAACTGGACTCTGACATAGTTACCTCATACCACGAAGAGTTGTGCACCTCATATTCTATTTTATTGTTGTATTATATTCATCATTTTTTAGTTCCTTTAACAAACCATGACAATTTATGCACGTTGGGAAGTTTGTATATGAAAACGTTCCTGTTGTGTACACTTGTATAGCAAGAAACTAGAAAGTATAAATTTATAACTTGGATTGTTCTTCACTTTTTATCAGATTTATTTCCACGGTTACCCAAAGTAAGAAACATGAACATTTCCATTTAAGGGCATATATGATGAAGCTTTTGAATGCATATTCTTCTACAGCTTTAGTCGGTAACTCCCCCCCCCCCCCCCCACCCACCCACCCACCAGATTTAATGTTAAAGTTTCTACTAGCCTTGCATGGATTCTGTCATTTTTGCTTACTAATAAGTTGGCAAATGCATACTCTTATAGAGCATACTTTAATAGAATAGAACAGAGTTTCTTGTGATTTGTGTTGTGCATTCAAAGTCTTGTATGGATCTAATATTTTTTGTTTATTATTTTTATCCGTTATTTAGACTTGTATATGTGTTTTGTGACAAAACGAGCAGGTAGTGTTATTAGAATTTTTATTATTTCAGGAAAAGACATGATCGAAAATCCGTCAATAGTGTCTCTGACAATCAAAATAGAATCATGTCGGTCACAGAGCCGTCAACCAAGGCCGAGCTTACTACAGATTCTAGCCGACAACATGCTTCAGATTCTAGCCGACAACATGCTACAGATTCTAGCCGACAACATGCTACAGATTCTAGCCGACAACATGCTACAGATTCTAGCCGACAACATGCTACAGATTCTAGCCGACAACATGCTACAAATTCTAGCCGACAACATGCATATGCAAGAAAACCCCAGCTTCCTAATGACGTCGATATTGTTATTTCAGTTTCGAAAAACAAGCGTAAAATGACCAGCAGGAACTCTGTTGTTTCTCTTATTCGCCGCGCCTCATCTGTATTCCTTTTTCAGCATGATTCAAGTAAAACTAAGACCAAAACTAAACTATTTGACTTATCTCTTCTGAAAGATTTAAGATATTGTGCATTTTGTGTGGCAATTTTACTATTTACATTAGCATTTTCTTCTGGTATGGTTTTTCTACCTGCCTTTGCTCTACAGATAGGGACAAGTGAATTTGAAGCCGCGTACACAGTGGTTGTGACTGGTGTATCGGATGGAATTGGCAGACTCTTCGCAGGGTTCCTATTTGACCGGAAATTTATGAAGCCATATCGCATTTACATATACAATGTTCTAATCATCTTCATGGGTGTTGTATCATTGACTATTCCGTCACTTACAACTTTCTCACAGCTAGCCGTGGCTTGTGCTATATATGGATCTACCATAGGGATGTATGTGTCACAGAAGTCGGTGATCATCGTGGATCTTCTTGGTATTGAGAATTTGTCTAAATCGTTTGGAATAGTTTTGTTTTTTCAGGGCATTGGTGTTTTTATTGGTCCTCCTCTGTCAGGTATGTATGCAAACATTTCATGATTTATCTTTTCTTTAGCCATATAGACTTGTTTTTGTCGTCTGCTCGTTCATGAGAATAATCTGTCAGTCATACATAATAAATGTCCAATAAAAACATAAGGCTCATTTGCTGTAAATTAAGTAAAAAAAGACATTCTAGACCATATTTAGCTCACCTGGCCCAAAGGGCCAAGTGAGCTTTTCTCATCACTTGGCGTCCGTCGTCCGTCGTCCTGCGTCCTGCGTCCGTCGTCCGTAAACTTTTACAAAAATCTTCTTCTCTGAAACTACTGGGCCAAATTTGACCAAACTTAGCCACAATCATTATTAGGGTATCTAGTTTTAAAAAATGTGTCCGGTGACCCGGCCAACCAACCAAGATGGCCGCCATGGCTAAAAATAGAACATAGGGGTAAAATGTAGATTTTGGCTTATATCTCTGAAACCAAAGCATTTAGAGCAAATCTGACATGGGTTAAAATTGTTTATCAGGTCAAGATCTATCTGCCCTGAAATTTTCAGATGAATCGGACAACCCGTTGTTGGGTTGCTGCCCCTGAATTGGTAATGTTAAGGAAATTTTTTGGTTATTGTCTTGAATATTATTATAGATAGAGATAAACTGTAAACAGCAATAATGTTCAGCAAAGTAAGATCTACAAATAAGTCAACTTGACCAAAATGGTCAATTGACTCCTCAAGGAGTTATTGCCCTTTATAGTCAATTTTTAACCATTTTTCGTAAATTTTTGTAATCTTTTACAAAAATCTTCTCCTCTGAAACTACGAAGACAAATTTAACCAAACTTGTCCACAATTATCATTAGGGTATCTAGTTTAAAAAATGTGTCCGATGACCCCGCCCGCGAACCAAGATGGCCGACACGGCTAAAAAATAGTACATATCTCTGAAACCAAAGCATTTAGAGCAAATCTGACGAGGATAAAATTGTTCATTAGGTCAATATCTATCTGCCCTGAAATTTTTAGACAAATAAGGCAACACGTTGTTGGGTTGCTGCCCCTGAATTGGTAATTTTAAGAAAATTTTGCAGCTTTTGGTTATTATCTTGAATATTATTATAGATAGAGATAAACTGTAAACAGCAATAATGTACAGCAAAGTAAGATCTACAAATAAGTCAGCATGACAAAAATTGTCAATTGACCCCTTAAGGAGTTATTGCCCTTTATAGTCTATTTTTTACAATTTTCATAAATTTTGTAAATTTTTGTAGATTTTTACAAAATATTTTCCACTGAAACTTCATTATAGATAGAGATAATTGTAAGCAGCAAGAATGTTCAGTAAAGTAAGATCTACAAACACATCGCCATCACCAAAACACGATTTTGTCATGAATCCATCTGTGTCCTTTGTTTAATATGCACATACACCAAGGTGAGCGACACAGGCTCTAAAGAGCCTCTAGTTGAAATAGTGAAACAGATTTGATTTAGATCATTTTTACCAACATTACCTTTCGTGAACATTTAGACTTGTCACGTAATGACAAACACAATACTGCAAGGACTGGTAATCGAGCAATATATATACACACAGTAAACGCTCTATATATTTTTTTTTATTTTAAAATATTTTGTTTTTCAGGGCTCCTAAAAGATTTGAATGGCAAGTACGACTATGCATTTTATTTTGGTGGAAGTGCTGTTTTACTTGGATCGTGTATTCTTCTTGTGTCAAATATTATACATTTCTTAAAGTCAAGACGGGTATACCAGATGTAATGCTAACTATGGCTACGAACCTCTTCGACAATATACTACTAAATACTATCATGACTATAAAATTGTAAGAGCTATTGTTTCAAAAAATGTTTAAATCCCTTGTTTCTGTATTTTTGAGAAATAGAAGAATAAAATTCATACTTAAGATGGTTCAGTTTCTGTTTATGCTTTTTAGTGGTGTTTTTTTTTAATCACGGGAATAAACGAACTTATGGATCCGATCCATACAACTGTCACATGCGTCACACAATAAAATTTCAAATAAGATAATAACTGAATGCGAGAAGACTTGAGTAAAAGGTAAAGAAATTGGAGAATACCTAAATTGGACAGCAAATAAAAACAAAACAAATAACAGCAGTTAAACTCAGCAAACAGTCTTAAAAAATGCCAAGTGTCTATGCAATATGAGACTTTCTAATTTGTTCCTATATAGTATAAATTCGCTGTTGATAAATTAAACGGAAATGACAGTCTTCATGCACGATATACTTTATGAATCTACAGGCCAAAAACTGATTTTTCGAATAATTTTGTTAAGATTCTTTTGGCTGGTAGAGATGATTTTTACAGGCCCGATATCATTATTACAAGCCTGGTCAGGTGGGCCTGGTAGTGAGCGCGAAGACTGTAATGATAAAAGCAAAATAAATAAGGTTATATATCTTTACATAGCAGTAGTACAACTGTCATACTTCCATGGTATTATTCTATCTATAATATCACCTTGTTACTTGACTAGCTGTAATATCACCTTGTTACTTGACTAGCTGTAATATCACCTTGTTACTTGACTAGCTGTAATATCCCCGTGTTTATTGACAAGCTGTAATATCCCCTTGTTACTTGACTAGCTTTAATATCACCTTGTTACTTGACTAGCTGTAATATCCCCTTGTTACTTGACTTGCTGTAATATCAACTGGTTACTTGACTAGCTGTAACATCCCTTTGGTATTCGTCTAGCTTTAAAACCACCTTAGTACTTTTCAAGCTTTAATACCGTCTTGGTACTTGTCTAGCTATAGTATCACTTGTGGGTCCGATCCTTTGTAACGCAACAAAATTACAAATAAGATAAAAAGTGAATCCGTTTAGACTAAAACAAAAAACAAAACATGAGTCATTTAATATGCTCAGTTGGGTTAGGTTGCAGGAACAATAACATTATAATAAAAAAAATCACTTTTGACTGAGAAGATGTGTGTGTAAATAAATTAAGAAAGTAGGGAATACCTAAATTGGACAGCAATCCAACAAAACTCATAGCCACAATTAAAGGTCAGCATAGTTACTGTCTTTACAAAACCTCCTTGGTGTTAGTCTATCTAAAATATTCCCTTGTTACTAGTCTAGCTGTAATATCCCCATGGTATTCGTCTAGCTTTAATACCCCCTTGGTACTTTTCAAGCTTGAATACCGCCTTGGCACTCGTCTAGCTATATCACCACATTGGTACTCGTCTAGCTATAGTATCACCTTGGTTTTCGTCTAGCTTTATCATTAACTTGGTACTCGTCTAGCTATAGTATCACCTTGGTATTCGTCTAGCTATATCAACGCTTTGGTATTCGTCTAGTTAAATGATCACCTTGGTATTCGTCTAGCTAAATGACCACCTTCGTATTTGTCTAGCTATGTTATTACCTTGTTATTTATCTAGCTATAGTATTACCTTGTTTTTCGTCTAGCTATTGTATTACCTTGTTATTTGTCTAGCTATAATAATACCTTGCTATTTGTCTAGCTGTATAAATACCTTGGTATTCGTCTAGCCATATTATTACCTTGTTATTTGTCTAGCTATATTATTACCACCTTGGTATTTGTCTAGCTATGTTATTACCACCTTGGTATTTGTCTAGCTATATTATTACCTTGTTATTTGTCTAGCTAAATGACCACCTTGGTATTTGTCTAGCTATGTTATTACCTTGTTATTTATCTAGCTATATTATTACCTTGTTTTTCGTCTAGCTATTGTATTACCTTGTTATTTGTCTAGCTATAATAATACCTTGCTATTTGTCTAGCTGTATAAATACCTTGGTATTCGTCTAGCCATATAATTACCTTGTTATTTGTCTAGCTATATTATTACCACCTTGGTATTTGTCTAGCTATGTTATTACCACCTTGGTATTTGTCTAGCTATATTATTACCTTGTTATTTGTCTAGCTATATCATTACCTTGGTATTCGTCCAGCTATATTATTACCTTGGTATTCGTCTAGCTATATATTAACCTTGGTATTCCTCTAGTTACCTTGGGTAAAACTAACTGTTATTTTACACTTTTGCTATTCACCTTATCCCTCCTATATATATATAGACTCTTGAATTTTAAAGAGTCGAAATAGGATGAACGGATCATATAAACCCGAAGGAAAATATAATACAAGCCCAAACGAAAAAATATAAACAAGTCTAAATTGAAAACAACGTTCAAACCTATGATTGCGTTGGATAAAGATATATGTATATATATATACAACATATGTACATCGTCGGAAAATATCAAATTTATTCGTATGAGCTTTAGAAACAGGACGACAAGCAAGGCTCGCCGAGCTCTTCTACGGTTTCATAGCGAGTACAAATAAATTTTATATTTCCGACAATGTACATATATTGTTTTTATTCTGTAATTTACAACCGACACTTTGAGGTTAAGTTGTTTAACCAAATATGTCTCTGATTTTTCAAAGGAATCGACATAGTTTAAACGCGGACCGCGAAGAGAACCCCAAAATGACACGGGTAGTAACCTCGTCATATCGAGAAGCGTTTAGTACAGTGATTTTGTCATAGTTTGGTTAAGATGAACATGGTTGTGTTAAGTGTTTTTGATGACAAACAGTGTCAAAATATAAACATTCGAATAGTTTGTTAAAGGAACTAATGACAACAAATTCAAGCTGATAAGTATCTTTGTTTATAGCTAATATGTTAGTACATCAAAATTTGTATCATATAGTTATTAATTTGACACAGAATAATGCTTGCGTATGTCAAAATTTAAAAGTTGTGATTCGTTTCTAATGCATAAAGAAAAGTGGTTTGCTTACTGTCTGCTACATCACATATTTTGTTATGATATAAAACTGCCGTCAATTTTCCCGAAAAACAGCCCCTAGTGCACACAATTTGAGATTACAGAATATTCGGTGTCATGGTTTGGTTAATTCGTGTCATGGTTTATTTCATGTTGAACATGGTTCAGTTATGTGATTCTATTCGTGAATGAAGAGTAACGATCAAAATAAACAGACATTATATATATTGAAATACTCTTTTTTAAATCGTTTTATTTGGAATACAAAAATACATATATACGCACATTCAATGTAGTATTATATATATTAAGTACATGCGGTCTGATTGCCAATGAGATAACTATCCACCCGAGACCAAAATGACGTAGATGTAAGCAACTATATGTCGTCGTACGGCCTTCAACAATGAACAAAATCCATACCTTTTAGCAAGCTATAAAAGGCTCCGACAAAATTATAAAAAAAAAAATAATTTAGAAAACCAATGTATTATACAATATTACAAAAACATAATCATTTTTATTCGTTCTTATAATAATTGATAAAAGTGGACATTAAATCGGCTTCATTCTAATTCGGAATTGTGATTTTTCATATATTTAAATTCTGAACTTGTGTGTATTTTTATTTTTTTATTTTAATTTTACTAATAGTTTATAAAACAAATAAGTTTTAACTGTTGTCCATGTCACGCGTTAACTATTTGTTTCGTGGATGGTTGAGTCTTGATATCGTTTGGTTAGTTTTGTAGTTGGGATACTATAGCATGAGCGTATAACCTCACATCTCCTTTTATTCATCATAGACTGGATCAAAATAAAACAACAGATATATAGTTTATTAGAAAAAAAGTAGAACAAGAATTACTTTTTGACTAGCTGATACGTTTTGCAACTTTAAGTAGACGTTTTTACACATTTTACAAGTGATGCCGCTCACGATATCATCGACAGAGTCAATCATGGACATACGGAGAAAATAATCTATGTGAAACAGAAACAGCATTTTCTGTTTTTGTTATTATTATCTCAAAAGATAGTTTAAAAGAGCAGTGAGTATTTAAATTATAAAAGCAAAATAACAAAAATACGGCCGGGACTTCGAAGAAAATTCTAAACGGAAAGTCACTACTCAAATGACAAAATCAAAAACTGAAACACATCAAACGAATGGATATCAACCGTCATATTCCTGACTTGGTACAGACATTTTTTTCTGTAGAAAATTGTGGATTGTACCTGGTTTTATAGCCAGCTTAACCTCTCACATGTATAACAGTCGCATAAAATTCCATTATATTGACGACGATGTGTGAACAAAACAAATAGACATAATAGGTAAAAATGTCAAAAAATAAGGGTACAGCAGGCAACATTGTGTTATAATCTTAGTCACTATAAAAACAAAACAAATATTTCAACAAAGAAAAACAAAAAGGCATAGAGACAAAGCACATAAATGTAAGCAAAAACGAAAGACAAGAATACAAAACTTTACCATAGCACAATAACACAATGACGGGATCTATAAGTAACGAGCCACGTCAAATGGATTGGGCCAAAAATAGACTAAACAGTTAAAGTAATAATTTACAAATACAAATAAAAGAGTACCATAACACGTCATTAAGGTGACAAACAACGTCAGTACTTAGAATCTATACTTAAAGACCATCGTTTATTATTTGTGAAGTTGAAAAGGAATATTTACCCACAAGGTCTTCCGATGAACTTTTTGGGAAAAAGGACGAGACGTTCTTTGACATACCACTGGTTCATCAACTTTCTGCTCAGACACTGGTGACGGTTTACAAAGTCTGAGTAGCATCTGCAAGCTCTTGAATATCGAATGAGTTGGGAAATGTATATCCTATATGCAGGAGAAGTTGGTATATTGCTACTAAGGTTGGAGAAACTAATAGTTTTAAAATTAAAATCGTCTCGTTTGTCATAGATTCTGGTACTAAGATGACCGCTCATG